ATGGAGACTCTTCAGTTGGTGATGGAGACTCTTCAGTAGCCGACTCTGAAGACACCAATGACGTTGGCGACACTTCCTCCACAGCAGCCTCGAATGGTGCAGGAAGTTGTTTTGCTAAGAGCGTCTGAGGTCTGGCTTACAATGTCCGACAATCTTGCTAAAGGGGGGTTATGCACATAAAGAAAAGAACATCGTCTATAGAACATCAAATTTCACCCATCAAGGCGCTCGCACGCCAGCTTTGTGCAACACCTGTATGTACTCCGCCGGCTCCATGGCTTTACGTGTAGGCCGGCAAAAAAGAATGAGGCTTGAACATCTAGATGAATTGCAAAATACAAACAGTTCCTTGTGTAAGACACACCCAGTCCTGAGTGGGGGACCGCGGAGAGACCAGAGCGGGCGACCGCTAACCACAGCGAACCAAACCAGAGCGGGCTATACTCTTACTTTTTTGCTTCCAAGCATGGTCTCACGCTTGTCATGTTCCTGCAGGGCTCCATTGTCCCCTCTACACAATCAGTGCCACTAAGGAACACACACCCAGTCAATGAATCCTATCAAAACCCCCTTGCCTTCCAGCAAGACAGGGTGCACAGCGGCCGCTGGCGGCACTTGCTGCATCCATTTGCAAACCTTTTCTTCGTCTTAAGATCTAGTTTCGACAAGATCTGATCCCTCAAGCGGCATTTGTCCTGCGGTGAAATGGTCTTGACTTTCTTCTTGGCAACGGCCTTGCTCACAGTCTTCTTTTGGTTTTTCAGTGAAGCTGAACCGACTTTGCTCCCCATCTTGGCCTTAGTATTCTGCAAGCGATGTGACTTCGGGTCACGACTGGGTGGCTTCTGGTCCACCGGCACTTGTGGCCCGTCTGGGACTTTGGCGGCTGGCCTCTTCATCACAGGCAGATCCATATCTGCGGCTGAAGAGCCCTTTGCTTTGGCCCTGGCTTGCTGCAGCTTCGCCATGCTATCCGACAAGGAGACGGTGTTCGGCCCACCTTGAGGGAGATCATTCACCTTCTCTGGCACTGTTGCTGCCGCCAGCTTCACCTCCTGGCTGTCCTCCTCGACAGCCGGCTTCGGCTGCACGTCCAAGAGAGGTGCGGGAGGTAGAGCAAGAAGTGGAGACCTTTCACTCTCTGCCGTGTTAGACAACGCACATGCCTCAAAGATTTGCTGCTTCTCGACATTGCCTGGGTTCACCGTCATTGCCTGGGCTGGGGCTGGCAAAGCAAGCTGGGCCTGGGGCTCGGCCCTGTGAAGTAAATTCTCAAGCGCTCTTGCTGGCTTGTTCTGCACAAAGCTCAAGTTGCACTCTCTCTGAGGTTGGGTCAGATGCTGCGCCATTGCCAGCAGGCTTTGGAAGGAATGCCAAAAGGCCTGACCATCTGGGCATGCCATACTTGAAGTCGAGGACTGGCCTTTGGGAGACCGCAGCTTAATCTCCCGGGCGATGTTCGAGATGTCGAAGAGGGAAAAAGGCGGCTGCTCAGGCTTGGAGCCTTGAAACGCAACTTCCTGCAATGCCTTTGGTGCGTCCTCGGGGTTCGGTGGAAGCTTCACAACATACTCGCCCCCGGGCAATGGGACCTGGCCAGCTTTGGCCTTGGCCATGCGCACACGCACTTCTGATTTCACGTTCAGGAAGAGGGATCTCAGTTTGTGAGGCTCCAAAGAAGAGCTGCTTCCTGGCTTCACACCTTGCTGCCCGTCACATAGAATGCATGTACCTGCCAACATCGCTTGAGTTGGTTCAGAGGGCGCCCGTAGTCCTAGCATCACCAGTTTGGAAAGCATGATCTCAAGACTAGCCGTGGCGGACGGTGATTCTTCAATACTTTTCCATGTGGCCACATCGAAGTACATGGGGAAGCTGCACCAGTCTTGCATGGCAAGGCGCTGCTTCGCGTCCATGACCTATGTATGTATGAAGGGCCTCTTTACGCGTATAGTGCAGGACGTCTGTGAAACAAAACTGCGTCACGCTTAGCCCATTACACGGACGAACACACTCGTTACAGACATACATGTTTCACACTCTGCGTGTGCATGGAATGAAGAAAACTTCGAAGAACAACAACACAACCATACAATGAATTGTTGCAACCCTACAACATTGCGGGCGACCGCACACGTTGCAGACATATGTTTCACGTGGCATGTGCATGGAAGAAAACTTCGAAGAAGAACAACACTGCCATACAATACATTGTTGCAACCCTACATGCAACATCAAACAACAATCAAAGTTGCAGCCACCAAAGGACACTGCAGATGCCAAAAACACGGACAGCTTAATTCTTGTTGAGTTCTGCTTAAAACTTGGCAAAAGTGCTGTTTGCTGCAAAAAACAAAGGAGCTCAAAAAAACATCAATAAAAACATAAGTTCCATAACTTATTTTTAAGTTCTGGGCAGTTCAAAGCTAAGTGACTTATAACTAACTTATAAATTCGCAACTTAGTTATAACTTTTTGATGAGGTGCCCAGAAGTTACAAAACTTAACTCTCTTATAAGCTAAGTTATACTATGTTATAACCTATGTTACGCTAGATATAACTTAGCTAACTTGAGGGGCCCATCATTGTAGGCCCGAGGACTTGTGGGGCCAATTGAAACATGCTGCCCACCTGGCCCACAATCGTCATGCCATAGACGAAGGGGTAACAGGCTCCGTAGCCATCTCGGGGAGTAAACTGGTACGGCTCGTGGTTGATTCCACAGTCTCCCTCGCCCGGTCGTGCGGATGGAACACTTCCGGATCTCCCCGCTCCCTAGGCCCGCCTCGGATGTGCGCGCTGCCTAGAGGAGCTTTCGTCGACTTATCTGACCAAGAACCCTCGACTCATCAGAAGGTGGGTGGATTGCCCGACTCAATGGGCACGGACCCCGAGGGGCTGGAGTCCTACCAAAGTTTCCCGCGCTGGCGCACGCCGGTGGCAAGCCGGACCTGGCGGGTGTCCTTATAATGCGACCTGTAGTCTATAGTCCATTGACATACAGGCCGCGCCGCTTGTGAGATTATCAGACAGGTGGCAGGCGGCCGGCGTAACCGGTCACCGCTGCCCTAACCTCAGCCTCGCGGTCCTCCCCACTGAGCAAGCCCATTCGAATGCCATAGTAATGCTGGGCTGCACAGTCATACTCAGAGGGTGCTCGACACTGGCAGTTGCATAGGCAAACTGTTGCCTGGCATGCAAATCGTTGCCAGAGGTGACATACTCGAGGACGTCTGCTATTGTGGCATTGTCGGCATCAATGCCATCGTCGCTCATCCGGAGGGCGAGGCACGCAACTTTGTAGTTGCGTTCAATGGTGCAAAACCTCGCTGCGCCCTTATATGCTGCAAACTGGGCTAACATCGCATAAAAGTTGAACTGTAGTAAATCGCATTTACAGTTGTCAGCGATGGCTAACCACTTCGTTGCAGCAACATCCCAAAGTTGATCTGGCGCGAAATTACAAAAGGAGACGCATGCTGCTTGAAAAGTCTTGCGAACTTTCGGGAAGGATGCGATGACATCTCCATGGGCGCCGCGCACAAAAATCCGTGATATAAACTCGACTCGATCACTGCAGTAGTAGCGGCTGTGGTGCATGACGCCTTGCCTATCTTGGGGTTCCAGTTGTGTCCCACATGTTGCAGAGGCGAATACCATAAGGCTGCCTAATATACTACGCGCTAATTCCTTGTCACTATAGAGATAGGAAGCAGCAAGCTCCCAGTACTCTTTTGTCACAGCGTCGAGATGATCATCGCCCTCAACCATAAGGCAGTCCCACTTCATGTTCTTCTTTTTAACGAGGACCTTCCTGAAATCCTCAATGTACCACCACGCATGTTGTTCGACAGCAGTCTTCCAATGCTTCAGGGTTTCAGTCAGCTGTCTAGCGATGATGGATATGAGAGGTTCTCATCACGGAGCTTGTCCCAATCAAGATGATCAAGCCGGATGTGTAGCTCAAACATCAGACACGCGGCAATGATATGACACAGCTGATTCACGAGCCACGTCAAAAAGTAATTGCCTATTGAAGTAAGGCCATCGCCAGAAAAGCGGCCAACTTCATCTAACAGCAGGCGGAAATGCTCAAATTGGACTTCCCATTGTTTCTTATCTACACTTGATTTCTCAGAGTGTGTAGTATATTTCCCAATGAGCTTGAACACAGCATCGAACAAGATCCTCTCAACCGTTCCACGAAGCCCCTTGTTGCCAGGCTTGTGTCCACGGTCAGTTATGGAGCTGTCGAAAGCTCCATAATCGTTTGAAGCGAGGAGACCGCCTGCGTATTTACCATCTTTCTCATTTATGGCGAAGTCAACGCGTTGCTCCACGCCCTCCATAGAGGTTTTCTTGATACTGCGTTCCAACATGTCTTGTGAACCATACACAAGCGATGTGACAATCGTGTTTACCACGGCCTCGTGAGCTGAACCTTCTTGTCCAGCATGACAGCAAGGGGGAATGCCTGTAAGAGGAAACCCCAAAAAAGGAGTCACCAGGGCTAGTTTTATGCATGGTAGCTTGCAAAACAAGTGATATAAAGTGTCAGGTCTACAGGAAGAAGGCATATCTGCCATCAATCAACACGTGACAAATCCGTGACAAAGCTCTTTCTGTTCAGTTCGTGACCGAACTTGAGGATCCCATCCAGTGGCCTACACAGGAGTCCACTTGGAAGGACGCAGGTCCAATCACCAGGACCTGACGAAGCGTTCCGACCTCAGAAGCCTGGGGAGCACAGGATCTGGATCTGGTCGTACCGGGCTCCGAGAGGTTCGTACCGGGCCACCGTTTTTGGGTCGACTCCCTCAAAATCCTCAAAACCATAGGGATTTGAGGGTCCGAACCCCTTCGGTTACGGCCCCTATACTTAGGAGGGTTCATGAGCGTCTGGGTGGAAAGGTCTGTGCCAGGGGCTTTATGGGGTGCTTCGGAAATCGGACTCACACCGACTCACGACTGACCTGCCCATCACTCCCCCCCCCCCGGCCTGGCCCTGCAAGGTGGTCATCCGACCCGTGTTGAAGCTGAGTTTTAAGCCCTCCTCAACACACTCCACTTTACCTCAGTCCAGCTTCAGTGTCCGCAGTGTAGCCTTTCACTGGCCATCGAGTCACTGACATGATCGGACTCCCATACACTCCATGGGACTGGAATAGGACTGCCGCCCCACACAGACCCCACCACCACCCCTGGCCGTTTCTCGCCAGTCCGGACTGCCAGTCCCAGACAGGTCGTGTCTGGGGGACTGGTCACCTGGTTCTTCAGTTCATGACCGGTCCCTTAAACCGGTCACGGTCACGTTCGAGCCGAACGTTCAGCTAAACCGGTCACGGGACGCCGCTTCATCACGAACCGAAGGTCGGTCCTGGTGTCCATTCAGGTGAAAACCCTAAATCATCCAATGAAGATGGACTTGGGCTTTTGCAAAAAAAAATGATGTCTGGGAGTGCTAGAAAACCAGAAACCGTAAGAACACCGAAAGCATCTGGGCCTTGTGGGACAGTACAGTGGGGGAATTTGTTTTGCTTTGGTGGCCTGATAACCAAAAATCCTGTACCCAACATGTTGGTTCCTCTGGCAGTCTTACTAGATCTGCATGGACAAAAATACTCAATAGGATCTGATCCATCATCAAAAAGAAACAACAGCTTAAAACTACCTAAAATCTTCTTCCCTTCTGCCGTTCCTCCTTCCACATCACCTCCTCGCTTTCACTCCCCCCGCGCTCGTGAACGTTGGATGCTTATACCTTCTGCTTCCGCCTGGCAGAACCGAATCGCGCGAAGGACCTGCGCACTGCGCTGCGCGGTTACTGCGCTGTTCGTCGTTTCGTCGTGTTGGCGCCCCGGAACTGATGAACTCCTCCGGGTCCAAGGCAGTCAAGGCCAAGGCTTCCGTGCGGAAGGCCGTGGTCTCAAAGCGCATCTGGCCGCTCTTCAGCCGGAAGTACCTCGCAACTTGAAAACCCAGGAACCGGGAATATAAATATCACCCCAAAATCAAGACCATATTTGGGGTTGGTTGGTTAGTTGGTTGGTGGTCCAAATCTCTAGTTCTCACCCCATTAAGTTAGAGGGTTTTGCAGGTGATGCACTGACCGGGTATGGTATGTACCTACACCAGAACTCCGCCATACCAAGCCTTGCTCAACAGGGGCTGATCCGAAGCGAAAGCGGAGGGCCCACCTGATTTCATCGATCGAATCCTGAAAAACCATGGTTTTATGGGTCGTTCCCATGTTTAAAACTTGGAGGGTTTTCTTATAACTTATACGATTGCATTTGACACCAGACAGGCGGGTCCAAGCATGGTCAAAAGATAGATCCCAGACGCTCCAAACAGGCCTTGGTCCTTCAAAACCCTAGGGATGGGTTCGGGTCCAAACCCATCCATATGAGGCTCTGGTCTTTACTTCGAATGGTCCAGGGTCGCGTTTGGGATGTTCCGCGCGGCCCGCCATTGGAGTGGCCGAGGCACACTCCGTCATGCCGAACTTGGATCTCATCCACGTTCAAGTCTGCTTTCTCCTCCCCGTGGGCTGGGCATATACATTGGGTATATCCCAAGCACCCAATCATGGCCCAGTGGTTGATGATGGTTAGGTTGCCGGCCTTTCTCAATAATATGTTAATTTGTTTTTTTTCTGTTACTGGTAGTGGGCGGCTACAAAAACACCCTTGCGACGCAACCCTCCACCAGGTGCTTTGAGAACAGAAGCTGTGGGCGGCTACTGTGTGTGTTTTCACCCCAAATGCGGTGTTTGTTTCACCGATGATATCTTATGATAATTTCTCGACACTTAACAGCTGTTGGGAATCCGGGCCCGCAGCAATGGAACAGGTGTGATTCGGGTCCGGACCCCTGTTGTGTTGGGTCCAAGGATTACTGTAAACTAAAACATGTTATGATGATGACTAAAGCCCTCGCGGTCCAAAACAATTCATTGCAATTTTTGACATGGTTTCATCTTATGAAACCTCAGGGCCTGACCTTCTGCACAATCCCAACCATCCCCACCTTCGACCTGAGGATTTGACCTCCTCAATCCCGAAAGGACATGAAGACACTGGCATTGGACATCTCATGGCAGGAGCAGGACACAGCCGGCAGGTCTTTTTGCCAAGGTGATCCAACGCGGAAGTGACAAATTGAACGACCCCAGCATGAGTGGGAAGGAGATGCATGCTAGTGAGATTCAGTGACGATGTGTGCAACTCATCGATTGTAAACCTAAGCGCAACTAGAACGCAAACCAATCCAAAGCCAATCCCGAATCCCAATCAGGATCCCTTTTCACAAAACACCGACTTGCTCTCTCCCGCGCCTTGGCGGTGCCGGCCTCGCGCATGAGCTGCGCCACATAGGCGGCGAAGGTGCTTGAGGAGAAATCCTCAACGCCGCCCAACAGAGGTTGTAAGCACTATATAGGCAGCTATAACATCTAGACTATTTGATAGGTAGCCCACCCAGCCTCCCGGTTTTCCAGGTTATATACGCAAAGCCTGAAAACCTGTCTTGCCGCGGCCACGCAGTCTGCCGTGCGCTGTCCGCACGCTTCCGCACGCGACCACAGAGGGACGTGAGAGGGAAGCCGGTCAGGCCTCCTCGGCTGCCTTCATCACAAGCCACACCCAGCAATCGTGAGGCCTTCACGTCGGCCAGAAGCTGCTTGAACAGAAACACTCCACTATAGTCACAGTGACCTCTGAAAATCCGCCCCAATGGCGCAAGCCAATGTGCTCATCTTGCCATATTGCAATATTGCACACAACTGAGTCCCATCCGAGCGGGTTGATAGGCGAGCAGGAGCAAGTTCTCTTCCACTGTGCTTCTTGGCTCAGTCTGCTCGACTGGAGCTGTACTGCTTTTGTTGGAAGATGAAGATGCGGCGCGCAAGAACGCCAAAGCACGCTGGTGATCTCCAGTGGGCGTCTTAATGTGCTCCTGCAGAGTGTCCAGGATGTGGATGATGCGATCGCAGATCTGCAGCCGCCCCAGGCTCTGGCGTCCACATAGTGGATTGCCAGCAGCAAATTCCACGCAAACAGAGCATCCCACTAAATCCTGCCCGTTCTCCATTTTCCATCTTCATTTTCAAGAAGCACTCCTCACCAGGTCGAGAGAACTTTGCCTCAGGAAGCCAGGACATAGCCCGCACAAGAGCCTTTGTAAGAACTTCCGTTGCGTCCGCCCAAAGCGACAATGGAGGCAGATCAACACCGGCCGCGGCAGTGTACACACCGAAGACTTCTTCAAAGGACTTGCCAAATCTGCACAGATCCCAAAGACTAATCCGTAACCGCGTAATCTTCCATCCGTGCAATATTAGGGGATGAAATAGGATCAAGGCAGCTAGCTAGCTGGCGGAGTTGGTCGGATGTGCCATAATTTGGAGCATCATCCAACAGGTGGAGTCTGCACAGAAAGAAGAACGCGCGGAAATTCCTGTCCGGTTGTGTGGAGTATGTTCCCCTTCACATTGGTGCTCGAAGGTGCACAAAGGATCTCAGCTCTATACCAGCTCTATCGGTTTTTGGGAGGTACTTTGGGAGGTGTTAGTGGTATCCACAGGATGTGTGGTCATGGTGGTGTGAAACTGGTTGGGGATCAATTGAGAGAGTTATTTTGTTCATTTGTTGGTAGAAGTACAGTGCGTCCCTGCAAGAAGGTCGTTAAGTTGTTGCTGGAACAGGTGGACTGGTACCAGGAGGGCTTGTTGCTCTGTGGGTCCTCAAATACCCTAAACTGTACTAGACGGATCTCCGGACAAAGACACGACGGTCACTGGTGCGAACTGCAAACCTGGTGACAGGTGTTTGACCCGTCAATAATCTGAACAAGCGCAAACGTACATCTATCATATACCTACATTTTCCAACTGTGACATGTCTGAATTTTGATCAAAACCTGCCAAGTTCGGAACACATGTTAAAAGTCTGGTCCTCGTAATTCGGTTTCCTTGTGAGGAAGCTGGCTGTTTTTTTTTAAGCGATGTTTAGTGGTTGCCTGGTTGCCCTTGTTTGTTTGACATATAGATTTTGATCGTAACTTTGAATTATCATGGTGGCTCACTCTCCTTTGCAGTTGCTCATGTGTATTTTAGAGGCCTTAACCCATATCTCTTTCCATGGCATGTTGTCATTGTATTTCAGAACCATACGTTACGAGACATTTTTTTTTGTCCACTGCGCCTGTCGTAGTCCTGTGGCACACTCCTTTCCCACCAGCAAAGGCGAAGCACTTGCCATAGCAATGATTGACGTTAGAACTGCATCAAATTGTACTTGTACTATGTACATTAGTCATAATCATTAAGACAAATTCTCTTTGGTAATTATTTTCATATTAGAAAGTAAGTTCATAATACTTCTGACATATTTATATTTTGTTTGCAGTCAGGGTGCCAGTCTTGACTCGAGATCTCAAAGGTCGAATTAAACCGCAGCTGTTCCGCAGTGGAGCTGCAAAGAAAGCAAACAACCACTTTATGTCAAGCTGTCAGGGGGGACTTAGCTTTGACTTAGGCTGTGACTTATATAGCTAAGTCATACCTAAGTACTTGTAAGTACTATAGGCGTAGCCAAGTGAAGGCTAAGTTGAAGCTAAACCTTATAGAGGTTAGCAAACTTATAACCAAGGTTATAAGCAGGTTAGGGGTACTTACAACCTAGATCAACCTAGGTTATAAGTCAAAGCTAGCCAACCACCGGGCAAGTCGACCGCACCGAAGCAATCATTTTAAAGGGTTGGGACCGCACCGCACCGAGCAACCAGGCAACCACTGTTTTCATCACCGGTCATTATATGTGTTTTTGGTTCGATCCCGGTAGAGGGTAGACTTGCGGGGTAGACGGCACGGCACTGGTCTATTTCAAGGAAAGTAGAACATGGGAGGTTTTCCTATCTTTTGTTTACACACCCCACATGCTATTACATGCTCGCTCCATGATCCAATGATCTCCAAAATCCGTTTCAAGTTTGGCTCGTTGGCTCCGGGCAGGGCGTCGCCTTGGCTCCAAGAGTCTAAGGGATTCTCTTTCATGAGCCACGCACAGAACCTGGGTGCCGGCGATCGCTGGCAGTGGATTGAGAGGACCAATGGCACAGACCCCAATGTCGGTGGTTTTGGACCCCCATCTGTTCAGGACATCTTTGGGTCTGTGCCATCGAACCTCCGAAACCACTGTATTTTGACGGAGGGAATGATGCATGGAGAACATAGAGAGCATAGAGATATCCGAGATGTATGCAATGCAGGCGCAAGCTGGGCATGGGGAAATCATATGTGTGAAATCAACGGTGTTTTTTTCAGCATTGAGGCTCTATAGTGTCAGAAGTTTGTCTCATATTGTTTCTATGTCTTAAACTTAAACAAAAAACAACATGACGATCAATTCTCCATCTCCAGTTTGCACCTTGAGCTTTGGATCCCTTTCTCTTTCCGGCTTTTCGGCCACCAGTCCATGCTGCTCCGCTGTGCTGCCCAAGCAACTCCTCATACTCGACCACTCCGTTGGCGTTAGTATCAATGACCCGTAGCAGGTCATTGATGTCACCTTTGAAGCGGCGTACCAACAGAGGTTGAAGAACCCGCTATATATATTCCATATATTCCATCTATACCCCAGGTGATGGGTCCTAGTTCAGGTCACTTGACCTCTCTTGGTACGACAGGGCGGACCCCAAACGATCTGAGGCCCCATACGATCTGCGGTACGAACAGGTCGACTCCGCAAATGATGGCCATGTATGGGCCCCGTGGGTGGGTTTCAAGAGTCGAAGTGGGGTTCAACTGGGGGTCAATGTACCAGGAGTCAAGTGGTGCCCATTCTCCACGAAAAAAAACAACTCCTACTATTAGTGACTCCTAGTAGGGGCCTTTTCTTTCTTTCTCTGAAGCCGAAGGCGTCGCCTGTGACTAACTTGCACCTAATTATACCTGCTCAAACAGCATCCGGCCTGAAATCAGGCCCCATCGGGGCCTGTTCGTCAAAGCCGGCTGTAAGGTTCGAAATTGCCTTCGAGAACCAGCTAGGAAGCTCTTCCTGGACATCTGCAGCCGTATTGGCTTCATGGAAAAGTTGCGCCAACACTTTGCAGAAATCCGCTGGATATTGTTTCAACGCACTTGTCAGCCAAGTGCCGTCATCAGCTTTGCCGATGCGGCCTGTCTTGGGAATCGGCGTAGTGCGCCCGGCAACAAATAGGCCATCGGGGTCGTCGACTCCGTGCACAATGAGCAAATCTGTCGGTTTCATTGACAGACCGCCGTATCGCCCCTGATCAACCCTCACACGTCTGCAGGAATTGAAACGGAGAAAGTAGTGCATTATGGCAAGTCGCCAGATCGAAGGCAAATGGTCTTCTTCAGGCTGCGCAGGGTGTTCAAGCACCCCAGTCGCCCCACACAGCAGTGCTGTCCAGATAAGCAAAACTGCTACCGCCAGTAGTCGATTGCCCAGCTCGACCTGAAGGCTCTCTCGCTTCGTCAAGTGTAGAACCCCTTGTGGTCGGGTGCAGGACCGCACCATGCGTGGACCGCCCTCACATTGAACCGCTCTGGCGCGGCTCCATGTCTCGCATGGAGGCCCCGCCATGAAGCCCAAGAGCGCACCAACACGTAGAGCATGCCTGAAGGTATCCAATGTATCCTGTCGGAGAAGATTCCCCCAGGTAACATCATAGATAATGTCTATGGACACCGACGAGAAACCATACTTCTCAAGATAGTGCTGAAGGTCTCCTTGCCGGCGCTCGCCCGAAAAGAGATGAGCAACTACTCGAGGATGGTACCTCACTGACCTCGCTGGTGTCCATATGATGTCTTGGAAATGCCAAGCCTCTCTTTCAAAAAAGGCGACCGCAGCCTCCCCAATCTGTTGCGTCCTTGTGGTGCCTGTAAGGAACCACTCCGCCGATGCTTGGCACTCAAATAAATGGAAAACTCGGAGCCCACTAAGTGCTAAATCTTCATGTGAGGCGCACCAGTCTTCGCACCAAGTTCGAAAAGTGGTCATAATCTCTTCATGGAACAAAGTCGTCTGTAGGGTCGCCTGTCGAAGGGCTTCAAGCCACGTCTGGACAGCTGTTTGGTGCACGGAAGCTTGGTCCCACTTCTCCATAAGCAGCACCTGCTCTGGGTGCTCATCATCAATGAGAGCTGCTGGGGATGGGCAACGAGGCCCTTCCGCATAGAAAAAGGGATCACGGAGCAAGGATCGTTGTTGGTTATCTGCACGACTGTTTACTCCAGGCTGCCGAGGTACAAGGACTCCTCTATTGGCATAGAAGTGCAAACAGCTCTGCGTCCTCTTCACATGGTTGACTAAATCAGGATAGGTGGCATAATGTTTTAGGCACCTTTCACACTGCGTCCCTTGCACAAACTTTCGTGCTGGATTGATTCGGTCGTGCTTTTTAAAAGCATGAACGGCCAAGTCAGCCCGTCTCTGAAAAATCCGTTGGCATCGTAGGCAGTAAAAGGGCTGTTGGGGGATTGGTGCAAAGGCTTTGTAGCCAAATCCTGCTTCGACCACCTCTTGCATGATTATCCCATGCCACTCCTGCCAGTGCTCATCAAGCTTCCTAGAGGCAACGTGTCTATGAACTGCCCGTTTGATGTGGCCTTTCCAGACTTTCGGATGTGCAAGAAGGAAATCAGCAAGGGATGCCCAGTCCGCTAGATCTCTCTCGTCTGTCTGTAGCTCCGGACAATGGCCACACAACCATTGGATGTCAGCCAGAACAGTGGGCCACCATTCTCGGTCTTCTTGAAGAACCGCCCACAGGTGTGGTTGTCCAGTCCTACAGGTTTGTTCGAGATATCGAAGTCGAGCCTGTCGCACTGTAATCTCTGGGTCAGGAAGTTCCAGCTGATTGAGCAACTTGGTAATAGGCCACTTTTGCGCGTCAATTCCGAAATGCAGGACTCCTAGCCGCTTGTAGAGCCTGACAAAGGAGGCATGGAGCTGCTGCCTTTGTCTTTTGTTTCGCGGCGTCCAGAGAGCCGCATTGTGCACAATGGTACTCACCACCATCATCTGAAATAGTTGGAGTTTCTTCTTCAAAGCCAGCTTCTTGTTGGCAAAAACCTGATTTCGGTACTGCGTCATCAGGTTGTGGGCTGCCGCAAACTTCGTACTCAGGTCACGTGCAATGCCAGAGCCAACTTGTATCCACGATCCAAGGTGCTTGTACGCTCCTACCACTCGAACGGCATAATCCGTGAATCGGGATGGAATCCGGAGCATGTGATCGAGATGTACAAGGTTACGCCGTGCTTGCATGGATGCTGGCCCTCTCAGGTCGATCAGCACCTCAGTCTTACCTGTCTTGAAGTTCGGTTTCAATCCAGCTGCCACAAAACCATCGAAAACAATTGATGCAATACGGACAGTTCTTTCGAGCAGAACTTCTGCTTCTGGATGCGAAAACGCCAGTGCCAGATCATCAGCCCAAACAGGTGTCACAATGTCTAAACGTTGTGTCGGTCCTGTCCCCCGAACTGGAGATCTATTGCCATCCCATAAAGGCCCAATGGCAGGGTATTCTGCACGAATCTGGCGATTGATGCCCTCCATCATTTTTTGCAGAGCAAACGAGAAGCATAGGTCTGCAAAACTGTCACCAGGTCTGCTCCCTCTCCTTGTTTGCACCACCACATCATCTGTTTTCAGTCGGAACCAGGTCGTGGCATAAAATTCTCTGAAAAGTACTTTCAAGAATTCAGGTGCATCGGAGCTTTCCATCGCAGCTGGCTGTTGCATCAACTGTGAGAACTCTTCAAACACTTCTCTTGGTAATCGCAGTGCATCGAAAATCTGAGCTGGGGTCCGTTGATCATCAGGAACATCTAAAATGTGCTGTCGAATGAGCCGATAGAAGGCATTCGCCACATCAATGAAGATGATAGCTACGGAGTGGTTTCTCCTGATGGCTGTCCTATGGTAGCTTTGCAACGTATGCGCAGCTTGGCTCACACTAAAACCTTTCAAACCCCCGATTTGGAGCGGTAACCTTTGCTTTTCAAAGATCGCAGCTAACTCAGCACGGTAAATGGCATGGACTGCCTTACCTACCACACTGCTGACGAAGAGCGATCGATAGCTCTCTGGCTGACCAGGATCACCTTTTTTGAAAGCAGGTGTTAAAAAACCGCCCTTGTGAATGATCGGCTCACGAACATGCACAATTTCCTTGCAGATCAGGGGATAAAAGATTTCAGCCATGCGTCTCGGCGCAATTGCCAGAAGCTCACCCGGTATATTGTCTGCGAAAAAAGCTTTGTTCTTCGCAGTGCGTCGAAACTGCTGCTCGAGTTGGAAGAGCGTTGGCATTTGATCCCAGTGTGGGCAAGGCCGCTGCGTGCGATCCGTCGCATCAGCAGAGGCAAAAATCTGCGAAAACGTAGTTTCGCAGCCATCTTCTTGCTCAAGGAAATATTCTCGCCATCTCCGCATGACTGTCTCCAGTGTGTCCAACGGCTTGTCATCCAGCCCCCGAAGGATCGGTAGCGGCTGTATCGCCGAAGGCTTCTTAGAGTTCCGAACACCTAAGGCACGCAGAGCTCCAAGAAAGTCTTTTTCTCGCATTGCATAGGACCGTTCGGCAAGTGCTTCAAAAGATCGTGTTCGGTCTTCACGAAGACTTTGCTGCAAAGCTTTGCCTGTAGCAGCAACCTGCCTCCGAACCTTGAGTGCACGCGAAAAGAACCTAATGGCACAAACAAGAAGAGCTTGCTGGTCAAAGGCGGCTTTATCATTCCAGACCTCCCACGCCTTTTCCAAACTCAAGCGTTCAAGCTGCTTACGGTACGAGGAAAAATCATGTCGAAGTTTCAACCTCTCCCTTCGGATCTTCCAACTTGCATCAGAGATATATCCCTTTCGGGGTTTCGAATGAGCAAGTGGAAAATTTTCTTGCAGACGCAGAACAATTTGCTCAGACAGTGACGTTGCATGCTCATCTACCCCACTCGTCCAGGCAGGAAGTTCAATCCCTTCCATCACTTGCTCAATCTCTTGGGTACTTGCATCTTGCAGTGCCCGTCGGTCAAAGATGTCCTTTTTCTTTGCTGTTCTATTACTCAGTAGGGTCAAAGTCACTTGCAAGGCCACCGGAATATGGTCGATTCCAGCTCCTCCAGCATCGAGGCTGGGGAGACAGTAGGATCGTATAGAACCAGGCCGCCATGCCTTGGGAATCGCCAGATAGTCACATCTGGCCCCACTATTGTTGCAGCTGTGGTGCCAAGTCACGTGGGCCCCGTCGTGAAACTCATCAAAAGTGCTGGGGAGAAAAAGATCAAACCTTTGTAAAAACCGCAAGAATGCACGTGCTCCCGAATTGGTCGTCCCCTCAAGTCCAGCTTCTCCAACCGTCTCATGGTATGGTTCATGGAAATGCGCATTGGCATCAAACCCACACACAACCGGGACATCTGGTTGCCAGAACTGTGCCAACTTATCGGAGACTTGTGACCAGTAGGAAATAATCTCATCATGTGGCCTGCCGCTGTGTGGGCCATGCCCATTAACAATCAACAATTGCTGGCCTC